ATCCTCACTTTTCGACATGTGTCCCGTTTTTGTATTATAGAAAAATAAATATTGCTTTTCTCTTTCTTTATTGTATTCATTATTATTTGGCCTTCATTTTTAAATGTTGTTATTTTTATCCTACAGACAAATTGTACATATGGGAAACAGTTAGGACTTCATAGAGACTTGGGGTATTACGGCGACTGTAGTAAGAATGGTAAATAAGAATGTGTTGTTTTGCTGTAAGGAATACTGTGGTATTTTTGGGTTAATAATTGTGGCTAGCTAAGTTTAAGATAGGAGAGATTTTAAAACTAGCCTTCACCTACCTCCCTTGTGACACGTTTTTGGATTTTCAAAATAAATACTATTTTTCTCTTTGTTACACCGATTTTCCGAAATTAACCGCAGTACTAAACTGTCAGCTAAATTTCATGATTTTACAGTTGAAATTTCTAGATGTAACAGCAAGTTCTATGGTAAACGTTTCTTCTTTCGCACTTCTTGATTGTGGAACTCTCTTTTAGCCTTTTGGTTGTCAAGTCGATTCGATTTTTTTAAAACATTAAATGAAATGTAAAACCAGCTCAAGTAATTAGCTATAGGTTTCAATTTCATTCCAATTAAGATTACCTTGCCAAACTTAAAAAAAAAAATGAACTCTGAATGAGCCAGCTTCATTCTAACATCAAATTTGGCTACGATATATATTTTAAATTATTTTGATGAGAATGAGGAACATCAATTCCCAAAATGGAGACCATATCCAAGAAAGAACCAGTTACCAACATACACTAAGTCAGTGGATCCAAAACGGATTAAAAGATTTAGAAATAGTTTCAGATTTGTCTTCTTTGTTTCTATTCTTTCATTGTTCTCTCTACTTAATAATGTTTCTAATTTTCTCTTATTTTTCACACTCAGTAACTCCCTGGCGTACTAGTGGCTTTATTGTTTTTCTTGTTGTGAAAGGATCAAAAAAAAAAAAAATTAGCTACGCTTTAAACTTGACATCGAAAATCAAGGATATCCGATATGTTCTCTGAAGGAGTTGTAAACGCATGCTTGGGAGTTATGAAATCAAAATCCAGCCATCAATTCAAGAAAATTCAGAAAACATTTTATCGAATATACTCGCGTATAATGCGTTTTTGAAGACATTATTTTGAAGCTAATTTTAAGAAGGGCGCATCATACGCGAGAGATAAAATTAGCGCATGTACTGCTGGCTCTGGCTACGCCGTTTTTCTATCTACCTATCTATCTATCTATCTATGCTCATTATCTATCGGTCTATCTATCTATCTATGTTCATATCTATCTATCTATCTATCTATCTATCTATCTATCTATGTTCATGATCTATCTCTGTTCATTACCTATCTATCTATTTATCTATCTATTTACCTATCTATATATCTACCGTATATACTCGCGCTATCTATATCTGTTCCTTACTTATCTATCTATCTATCTAGCGTGCGAACTGTTTGTCCTAGCTACATCGTTGAAAAATCTATCTATCTATCTATCTATCTATCTATCTATGCTCATTATCTATCGACCTATCTATCTATCTATCTATGTTCATAATCTATCTATCTATCTATCTATCTATCTATCTATCTATCTATCTATCTATGTTCATGATCTACCTATCTATGTTCATTACCTATCTATCTATTTATCTATCTATCTACCTATCTATATATCTACTGTATATACTCGCGCTATCTATCTCTGTTCCTTACTTATCTATCTATCTATCTATCTAGCTATCTATCTATCTATCTATCTATCTATCTATCTATCTATCTAGCGTGCGAACTGCTTATCCTGGCTACATCGTTGAAAAATTTATCTATCTATCTATCTATGTTCATTACCTATCTATCTATCTATATATTCGCGTTCATGTGACTTTTGATGATCTCATTTTAAGGTGTTCGCATCATATATATAATATATAATATGAGCGTATGTACTCCCTGCACTGATTACGCCGTCGACCAAACTATCTATCGATTGATTAATTAATCGATCGATCGCTGTTTATTATCTATCTATCTATCTATCTATCTATCTATCTTATATATTTGTCTATCATGCTAACTTTGAAGCATGAACGAAATATAATATTAGCGTATATACTGCCTGCACTGACTACGCCGTTGACCAAACTATGTATATATCCATTTACTGTAGTCAAAAAGTACAGCTGTATTTAAAATAAACCTGATTTTGATAAAACTGTATCCAATAATAATGCATGTCATATTGAAATATTTGTATCTTATTATACAATAAAATAAAAACACAACGAATATGTATCTTTTCCATTGTTTACGTTTATAAAATGTTTAGCTATTTCTTTATGGCTGTACGCGTTTACGCAACGAGTATAGCGTTACTAACGATACTTTTATCATTCTCTTTTACTTTTTGAACTTATTTAACTAGAAGATTGGATAAAGAGATAAAGGGAAAGAGGCTAATCTATTGTAATTTGGACTCTTTAAAAAGGAACTCGTATGATATACGAGATATATGATAAAAACATTTTTTATAATTGAAAATTCGTGTATCGCACGATATATTAAAATATTTAATAAAATATTTCATCATCATTTAACAAAATTCCGAAAATACGTTGATTCAAGTATAAGATTAGGAAGGACGCTGCCATCAATACTTGAAAAGAGACATAACAGATACTGGACTTGAAAAACGTATTTTATAAAAAAAATTATAAACATCAATCGACTTCCATATCTGTGTATATTTCTGAGAGGAGGTATTATGTATATTATTTACATTGTTCGGACTATTGTCCTCATCTTTGTCGCCATATTTATTACAACGTTTCGGTCCTTCAGTATCTGTCTATATTTCTGAGATGAGGTATTATGTACACTATTTACATTATTCGGACTATTGTCCTCATCTTTGTCGCCATATTTATTACAACGTTTCGCCCATTCAGTATCTGTCTATATTTCTGAGATGAGGTATTATGTACACTATTTACATTATTCGGACTATTGTCCTCATCTTTGTCGCCATATTTATTACAACGTTTCGCCCATTCAGTATCTGTCTATATTTCTGAGATGAGGTATTATGTACACTATTTACATTATTCGGACTATTGTCCTCATATTTGTTGCCATATTTATTACAACGTTTCAGCCTTTCAGTATCTGTCTATATTTCTGAGATGAGGTATTATGTACATTGTTTACATTATTCGGACCATTGTCCTCATCTTTGTTGCCATATTTATTACAACGTTTCAAGCGTTGTAAGCTCCGACCTTCTTCAGTATCTGTCTATATTTCTGAGATGAGGTATTATGTACACTATTTATATTATTCGGACTATTGTCTTCATCTTTGACGCCATATTAATTACAACGTTTCGGCCGTTTTACACTCATGCCTTCTTCAGGTGGTTGGAATGTCGAACTGAACCCTTTATTTCGCTCACTGTGGTAGACTGTTAATTTTCCCTCTGAAAGTTCTCAACTGTGGATATCTGTGTATGAATATCTGGGTATTATAAGCCTAAGGTCTTCAGTAACCTATTTACCAGTGCTCATATTGCAATTTTTGCTGTTATAATTGCATGTTTTTATCAGAGCTCATATTGCAACTTTGTTGTAATTATCTCTTTTCTCTGGCACTCCTTATTACTGGTTCCCATATTGTATTTATTGCTATAAAAATATCCCCTTTGAACCCGCATAAGCGGGTTCGGAATCTGTCTACCTCCCCGGACGAAACTTTGCCCTTCGGCAAAGCCTCGTACGGGTTCCTCTCTGCCAAAGCAGAGAGTTCGACAGAAGTCGCACACAGTCAGAGACTGCGTGTCGACTGCCTCATCGCAATCGTCAGGCCGCGAATGCTGGATATTTCCTCGGCTATTTATATATATGGGTCAGTCGTGCATTGTGGGTAATCTGTTCTGGCGGTTATTTTTACAGGAGTGGTATGTTTGTTTATTCATTTATTTGTTTGGGTTAATTTATTTGTTTTTCATTTTCATTTTGTGATATTTATTCTTTTCGGCTTTTGTTGTTTTATTAACGCAGTAAAAAAATGTGCGGATTTGCTAAGATCGCCTATTTATTCTTGCTCTGGGAAGATAAATAAGGCTATTTATTCGTTCGATGTTTAGATTACTTACTGTAGTCTATTCTGTTATTTTGGCCTGGTGGGCAGTTTTTAATTTGATTTTGCGGTTCCGTATAGGATACAGGTTCGATTACTGTCGGAGGACGCATATTTTCAATGAACATTTCTCGGACATTTAGCTCGTAAATGTTGTTAATACTGTTTATTATAAACAGAACATTTGCTTAAATATTTGTATCTATAAGAAAGCAAAAAATGTCTTAAAATAAATGTCGGACTTTGTCCATTTCATAATGTGTACGTTATATATATATATATATATATATATATATATATATATATATATATATATATATTATAAATTAATTGATTTAAAATATGGTTTTTCCGCTACACATTTCTAACCATGTTTCAAAAATGGAAGGTCCAAATTTAATTTTGTAAAAAAATGATTACCTAATAATATACATACTTATAGTTGATATGAAAATAACTCTACATACTGTAAGGGATTTCAATACATTTACTTACTCTTAAAAGAAATATAGTATATTAAAAATTAAAAGTGAAAATATTTTTCAAATTGTAGTTAAATAAAACGTATTCTAACCTAAATCCCCCCCCAATTTTTAAATATACAAATAGAAGAAATGCTGTAACAATCTTTGCCGTTAACAATAAAAAATTAAAAAAAAATCCAGACGACATGCATTTAACGGATATCAGATTTCATTGAAGAATACGTCCCTACCCCCTACCAAAACTGATACATCAAAATGCAGACATAATGAATACGAAAACACCCCTCGTCTGGTTGAAATGAATTTCTCTGTTTCCTTGGAAACGTAAATTATGATTTTTGCTGACTTTAAAACCCAGTAATTTTATAAGTTACTCCAAAATTCGCTTGAGGATGAAATGGAACTAATGTCTTTAATTTAATTACAAAATTAAATTTGGACCTTCCATTTTTGAAACATGGTTAGAACTGTGTAGCGGAAAAACCATATTTTAAATCAAATAATTTATAATATTAATGCTCTTAAATTTACATTGAGCACTACTTTGTAAAAATAAAAATATCTATAAGAACACCGGATTATATATCTTATTGTTCTTTCTTTATATATATATATATATATATATATATATATATATATATATATATATATATGTATGAATATTTCTCTGATTTAACCAGTAGAGAAGACAATATTTATGAATAAAAATGACACGAGGAAAACTGGTAATTCTGGAGAGTGCCGCCATAGAAAATTATCCAAATATTAATCTAGGCCCAGGTTTTTTCCCATTTCACCTTTCTTAACAAAATTACTGCTCTTACAAACAAATATACACAACAGATTCATAAAATCAAAAGAAAATGGTTGAATACTTCAACACAGATATAATAACAATATTCTCCACACGTGACAAATACTGACGTCATTTTTCATTTAAAAAATATGAAAATAGCGTTTCTCTACATTCCAGTTGTTAGGTTCATTCTGTTTTTGTTTTTATTAGTTACTTTGTTCAATTAATTTCATTTTCGTATTTTGCTTTGATAAAGTCCACATTGAACGAAACGCGTCAGCAATTACCAGTTTTCCTATTGTCATTTTTATTCATAAATATATATATATATATATATATATATATATATATATATATATATATATATATATATATATATATATATATATATATATATATATATATATATATATATATATATATATATATATATATATATATATATATAATATTAGTGGAAAATATACATACATATTAAGGTTTAATCTCCCTCCTCCTCATACTTACACTCTCTCTAAATTCTGTTTTATTTCCGGAGTTGTTTTTTTCTGTTTTTTTTTTAATTTGTAGGTCTGATGAATTGGATCGTATTTACGATTCCAATGGAATAAATTATGACCATGGAATATTAGTGTTTAAGCCTTTTTATTATAAATATTATCCAATACTATTCAGAGGGAAGAATATTAAAAAAAATCTCAAAAAAGAAATACCCAAAATTCTTACGAACGACACCTTCTCCATCCGAAAAAGAAAAACATGAAATCGATGGGGCATAATCAATTTCTTATGAACTGTTTTTTTTTTTTTTTTTTTTTTGTTTCATTTTGAATCCCTGGATGGTGGATATCGTCCTGGCAAGCTGAACCTAAATTATGGGGGGAAGGCATCTCCCTAACGAAGGTGTGTACATTCCAACAGATAATTTATACAAATCTGAAGGAAAAGGTATGCCTAATTAAACATGACTTTTTTTGGTAAGCAGACTTTAAAGCAACGACCTATTCAGCTACAATAAAAAAAATATATGTCACGGTATGAACATAACATTTCTGCAATGCAAAGGCTAAAATGAAAGCTTTTTTTTACTTCGAAAAGAGAAAATATGATCTTTTTAAAAAAAAATACGTGTTTTTTTTCAGAGGCTGAAAAAACGATCCATTCAATATAAAAAAAATGCATCCTTGCAAGGCACGAGAATAAATATTCCTAAAAAAAGTAAGTCATCGTAAAATCTTTTTCAGCAATAAAAAAAAAAAAATAAATTACCATAAGTTGGTCTTGCCCATTTATATCTTTTACCTAAGGGTAATTTATTTGCGCTTAAGAGAAAATATCAAACCCGATCGGAATTTGAACTCAGCTCTCC